TTGAGTTTATTAAGCTTCTCCATCTAACATATAATAACTACCTAGATTCTATAGAAAAGTGAAATTGTATGAGATTTTTTGAGACTATAAGTAGGTTCTGAGTTCCTGAATACTACTTAAATTATCTCCTCAGTAAAGGTTCTGTTAAGAGTATGGACATGAGGATCTTTTGCAAACACAGAAGCAGTGGATCATTTGTGAACGCTTACTCATCAGAGACGCCTAAGAGCCTAACTTGAAGTAGTAGGTTGTAAGTAACCTGGCTGCTAAGTAAGGAAAGGGAGGTAGAATATGGATCTATAGGCTCTGAATGTAAAGCTAAGTATTTTTCCATGTGTTTCTTGGAAATGGGGAACCATGGAAGGGAATTAAAAGTATGAGTGGAAAGATGAAGAGGAATGAGAGGAAGGGAGAATCTTGGATATAACTCTCCTAAAGATCTTTGTATGTCTTGGATGAACTGGGCTGAGGTTCAGTAAAAGGGTGGAAATCAGGGACAGAAAACCTATTATCAGTTAGACTATAATCCACATGAAGTCTAACAATGTATTGTTAATAAGGATTAAATGGAAAGATACAGGAGCTACTGTGAATAATTTATAATGCATGCAGTCTAAACCTGATGGAAAATCTAATTAATATACTGTTATTAATAGATTGTGATGTACATAGCATGATAGCCATGTAAATTGGTATTATTTCATCCATGGCAAATGTGAAAACAATCTCAGAGACTATGCTAATAATAATAATGACAACATTAACTAAATGGTACTGAACAATCACAGAGCTTTAATTAGTTTTGCAGACATTTGGTTATGGAATTATCACTACAAACCTGAGAAATGATTACTGCTATCATTTTTATTCTTATTTTAAAGAGTAGGAAATAAAGGCATAGAACAGTTAAGTGTTCTTCTCAAGATCAAGCAGGTAATGAAAGGCAGAGCCAAGATTAGATCAGATTATACTTGTTAACATATTTTTCCTCCAAATTCTTAATCTATGCTCTCCACTGTTATGTTATAATGAACAATGTTGAACTAGTAATCTCCTTTTGATATGACCATAATAATTATTATTACCTTACTACCATTTCAGAGGCAAGTGTACATGAAGCAATTTCTTCAAGATGCACAGACACACACACACACACACACACACACACACACACACACACACACACACACACATTAGAATCCCCAAACATTAATAAACATGTGCTGCTGCTTTCATTGAAGGTCACTTTTATCTTGGCCTCTCCCTCAGCCCCAATTCCCTCTTTCCCAGTTGTCCTCCATGGCCTGGACCCCAGACACCTCTGCAAGATGTTGAAAATGACAACCGTAGTGGTTGTGTAGTAGTTTACTGGAAACTGCATTTTCCATTTGTAGCTTGTTTTTCTGGGTGTGCATTTCATGGCACCCTTAAAACTTCTTTCCTCACCTATAAAATGAGAATAAAATATCTACCTGAGAGGTTGTATGATAATTAATAAAAGAAAGATATATGTGAACATATTCTCCACAATGCTGTGGACACTAAAGACTTTCATCTATTATTATGATTGTGTATGCACCTAGCAGATGGGAAGAATTGACATTTCGAGTGATGATACAGAGATACATTTAACCATGTCATAAGTTCAGGAAGATTCATCTCCAATTTTACTTTTAAAGAAGCCACAGAGATGCATATTTTCAAAGCACTTGATCCTAGAAAGGGTGCTCTATGTTCATGCTTAGACTAAACAATTGATTATTTGTGTCATTTGATATTCATATGTATGTCTTTTGTGTGTGTGTATTTCTATTTTGATCTCAGTCTCACTACTACTCTTGAATGTTTTAAAGCGGATGCCTCATTTGGGCAAAAGAATGGTGTCTAGTATCACCAAGTCCTCCAAGTTACTTAATCTCTGTGTCTAAAATTCTTTATCTCTCAAATTAGGTTAATCATATTTCCAAAATATCTCTTGAAGAATTAAGGTGAGCATGAAATGTGCTATTACCATATTTTAAAAGTGTTGAAACATAATATCATGTATATATGAATATATATATAAAGTAAAAATCTTTGATATTCATCTGCCCCATTAAAAAACTTACCTTATAGACTTAGATGAACTTAAAGGAGTTCAAGGTTGTTCACAAACATCTTCAGACTAACCTCTTTTTAAAATAAGTTACTTTCAGTATGAAAGATATGACATACTCAGAAATAAACTGCTCAAATTATTCAATATCAACAGTTGTTAGGCGTATTTTCCATCTAGCCTACAGCCTCAGAATATTTTCATGGAAAACCTGGCATTGAATTTAGAATGGATGTACTTGAAACACTGTGGATACGCGATCTCCTGTGGATGGCTGTTTTCCCACAGGCAAGAGGAAGAAAGTGCGGAGGAGACACAGTCAGGAGGGGCATTTCCCCCGTGATGAATCTTGCTCTGCAGATGTGGTCAACAAAAATCATCTCACCTTGCACTTAATGGGTATTTAAGGAGACTTTCATTAAGGACCTTGTCTTGAAGCTGTTACTTTCCCTCCCAGGAATTAATTATGTCCTCTGATGGAAAGACTTTGTCTTAGAAACGGGTATTCTGGAGACACATGTTTGATAAACTCCCATTTTTTGAATTTGAATGGGGAATTGTGTTCCCTGCACTTGGAACCTAAACTTCTGTAAGTCCCCTTTCTCTGTCTAAACCTGAGCTTCTAAGAAAGCTGAAAGTCATGTGAATAGCAGGTGGCTCACTTCCAGTGAGGGGTCCTGTGATGGGTGCAGCTGAAATTTTGAAGATCTTGATGCCAAAAGCTGTTTTGCACATTCATCACAGGGTTATGAAAGAAAACAGAAACTAAGTTATCTTTGGGACCCATGCTATGGTCAGTATGGAAAAGCAGACAATGTTAAAAATGGGGAAAGATATCATAACACAAGAGTTCTAATTTCAAACATGAGAATTGTTCTACATTCTTGTTCCTTGGTACTGTTAGTTATTTCCCTTTTAGTATTTCTACTAGGTATTTGTCAGAAATTACTGTGGTTTTAGTTTGCTTTCCCTGATGACTAATGATGTTGAGCACTTTTTCATGTTATTATTGCCCAGTTGTGTATCTTTTTAAAAATAAGTTTCAGAAGTTTCTCTTAATGTCCTTTGTCCACAATTTAAAAATAGCAGTTCTGGGTTTCCTTTTACTAAGTTGTAAGCATTCATTAAATACTCTAGATACATGTCTTCCATTACATATATGCATTTTATAAGCTTAGTGTGCAGGATGGTGCCCAGCACACAGCAGATGTTCAACCAATAATTGTTGAATGAATAGATGAGTAACAACCACACTTATACTGAACTGATTTGTTTTCTTGCATAGCTGCTTTCTTCTTCTGGACTTCATTATAGATTTAACCTGGAATTTCTTTGTTTATAGATGAGGCTACATATTTTTAAAAGCAGCTTATCATAATGAAATGTTCCCCTAAGGAAAACTAAGTAGCAGAGACAAATAACAAACAGCCACCATTCAAGAGACAAGGAAAAGAAAGCTGAGAGCAGGGAGAATATCTAGACATCTATTTGCTCATTTACTGAGAAGCTCAGATTTAATATCTTTCTCACTTTTCTGAAGTTGAAAAAGTTTGGTTCCCATAAGAAAGCTAGTTAGAATCCTCCTTAGAGTCTACATCAAATTAAGGGGAAAAAATCCCTATACTCTACTATCACTTTTTGTGCTATATTTTACTGAACTTGTTCATTTTCTTTTATCCTTACATTTATTGATTCACTATATATCAAGCACCAGACATTGCTCTACTTGCAGACACAATCATTAGGTACCAGGCCAGTAGTTTTGTAGAGTGTGAATGTATATTTAATAAATAGAAATTCTTTCTGACATTAAAATATTCTTTTAATTTAAAACATAAAAACCAAATCATCACACTATGTAAAGGGTCTTTAGTATAAGATTATGATATTAGCAAAGCAATGTGATTCTGAAGCCTACAAGGAAATTTGAAAGTATGGTGCAATATTCATCACTTACCCCTTAGATGCCAAATGACCTGTTGCTTTTATATTCTTGAAATAGTTACATATCACAGTGTTCAAGATTATAACCAACATATTATCATCACCCGTGGTACTATATAAGAATGAGCAGAGCTATTAATGAAAAATTAAAATTTAGTTATAGGTAATGAGCTAATATACAAATAATATATATATTATATTTTGATAATTTCCTCAGTAAATGGGGATCACAGAAGTGCTTCTCACTGTGTTTTTATTGTATGAATACCAATACATTTTTTTTTATTTATTTTTATATTAGAATGAAATCTTTCAAATCAATACACATGGATTAAGTAATAAAACTAATTTGGTAGAATGTTCCAAATATGTACAGATTTCTCTTATGTTAGGATTTTATTCCATTGCTTGCATTCATTTCTGTTCCTTTCAATAGAAAATCTATGATTCATAGCAGTTCCTATTTATCCTATAGGTATTTCTTGCTGAGATCTTCCAAAATGTTCTTCTGTCCTTTGCTTCAATTGAATCGATATGGGGCTTGAGAAACATTTATTTGTCAGCTGAAATAGATTTCCCATTACATAATTTTTTAATGGAGACTTTCATCTGGATATTTCTCAAGGCATAGATTAATGGGTTTAACATAGGGGTTATCATAGTGTAGAATACAGTAACAGCTTTATCAATTGATAAAGTAGCTGTAGGTCTCAGG